CAATTTTCCTTGCAATTTTTCATTTTCCTTTCTATATAGGGTGTTGGACTATTTTTGTTTGTTTATTACTATCTATTCCTTAAGTAAGTTTAATTATTCTTATAAAATAGTACAGTAAAAAAAAAATCATATTCTTAGAAATTAGATCATCCCAGGTGGGATTCGAAACCACGACATTTGGATTAGAAATCCAACACGCTGTCCATTGCACTACAGGAAAACAACAAACAATTTTCCATTCTATATAAGCTGTTCGACTATTACTTTTGTTTGTTACAATTTATTCATTTTCTAAATTTAAATAATGAATTAATATTTGAAAAAAAACTTTATTAATATGAAGTGTCATCTACTATAAGTTTCAAAAATGTATTTAAACTTGAACGGATGAATAGAAAGTATTTTATTAACGATTTAAAATTTGAACAATGCATATATATATATATATATATATGGAGAGAAAGTGAACTATGATAAGAGGAATTAAAAAAAAGAGAGTTAAAACAATTATGAAGAATTGTGATAACTTTTCGAAAAAGGCCATATGCATGACGTCGCCTTATAAAACCATACGAGGGCTATTGAAGTTGAACCACTTAATCTTGAATCTAGGTCAATTGACAATGACGAAACCTGATAGGGCCCGCATTTTTCACACTACCACACTATGTCAATGCTAGGATTACGAGCATCGAAAGATTTAACGAACATCAGCCTCTTTACATGGTGGGTCTTCAGTGGCACAATGACTCGAACTGATGGTACGCTGAACTTAACCACTAGGATATTGTGACTACATTTTTACTATTACTTTTCATTGAAATCCTAGTGAATGTTCATCAGAGTATGATTAAGTAAGAGGTTGAATTGAACACTTTCATAAGATGGATCCTCCAGTAATATAATGTTGCCTATATATATAACTTCTGTATTATTACAACAGTATATTGGTGACATTATATGAAACAAAACACATGATTGCCGATTCAGCGGGTACGATACATGTGAAATCGGCGTGGCCAACTTGGCGAGTTATCTTGTATGTTGGCATAGTTACGATAGTACGTAATTACCATTTTTGTCTAATAGTATGCATAATTCATATTCAAACCTTTTACCAAACTTTAAACTTTGATTCTAATGTCAAACGGTAAGGTGATAAGTTTATCTTAAATTAGTATTAAGGTTTTTAAATTAGTATAAGGTTTTAAGGTATATTTATCTATAAATTAAGAAAAGTGCACAAATTACATAATTTTACCAATCCTTAGTGTAATATTTTACATTCCTAAACTTTAAAAAAAATCGATGCTACTTTTTAAACCTTTTTCTTATAAATTTATCGTGCATGTATGTAAATGACTAAAATAATGAATCTATAAAAAGTGCTAATACAAGGTAGGTATCGGAAATAGCTTCAGAAATGTTTACTTATAAGTTATCTAATATAAGTTAAGTGGAATTCAATTAATTAATTTGAGAAGTGAAAAATTTCTCTGTTTCAACGAGAAAATAAATTGCATACTTTATTATTTTTAATCTTAGGTAAGATTTATGTATATTTATATAATTTCTTAAATATACATGTTCCCAGGTTTGCTATGACTTTAAATTTTTCTCCAATAAAAACATTTGAACAATAAATGTAGCATAATAAGTTGCAAAAGTATACACTACATTTCAAACACGAAGATACAGATAAAAAAACCTGATAAGTTACATAGAAAAACTTACTATTAAATTTCGAAACATTCTCGACATCAAAAGAAACATGTTTTTCTCTCCGCTTGGTACTACCATAAGTATCCATAAATGTTTTTCTTTCACCAGATTTTTTTTTCTTTTATGTTACATTTTTTTCTATAAAAATAGAGAAAAATCGAAATCCTCTGATATTTGCTTTCTATTTCGCGAGTTCAAAGGTCCCTTAAAAATTTCTTTTTTAGATAATCCTGACTTTTTCCTCCATTTTCATGGAAATTTTTGTAAAGATTCTTGTAATGGGATTTCTAAATTTTGAGATAGTTTTCATTTTTCTGTAAATTTACGCTTCCTTTGTCGAGTTGAATACTGGTCATATTGAAATACAACATACATTCTTTTTTGTAACTTATTTTCACTTAATTATATTAAAAATAATTATATATAGTTTAATGGATTCAAATGTATAACCATAAATATTATAACTCATTAAACGCACCCTTCCTTTTTCTTTTATTGAATAGCATACATAAATTTTCGAAAAAATATATACTTTGGGTTTTATTTTCTACACTTCATTCTGTAATATAGCACTTTATAAAATGCTATGATTATATAATATACATGACATATTTTTGAATGCCCTTGAAAGCTTCTCTGAAGTCTTATACTTTATCGTATTTTGCGTTGCGAAAGTCCGAATTTTTAATTCTATTTCATCAAAGACTGTCGTTATTTCAATATTCAGAACCTTAAGGACCCCGCAGCGTTGTTATAGAAAATGAGATTTTGAAGTGCGAAAACATTTTGATGTGAAAACGAAACGTCGTAAACATTAGGACGATGATGCTATATTCCACTAAGAAGGATTATTGGTCATGCACAGTCTGTGTCTAATGGAATTACCTAAATATTTGTTTATTTGTATTTATCATTCCAATAAAAAAATAGCTTCGAATTTTATATTTATCACGTATGGTTTTTCGATATGCTTAAAACTTCTAACATATAATATATATATATATATATATATATATATATATTCATAAAGCAGTGTTGCTTGTATTACCTATTAATATAAATTCTGAATTTGATAACATTTTCGCCGACAATATCCAGTATTGAATCAAAAAAGCATTTTTTTTTTCTAAAATTACTATGGAAAAATAATTATATATATATATACATTGTAAGGAAGCCAGCATACCTAAAATTAAATTTATCTACCATGTAATTTATCCTTATACGTTATTTTTTTTAAAGTGCGAACAAATATTTTTTATATTAAGGTAATAATTATTTTCAAACTTTCGTCCTGTAATAATTTAAATTTAATCAACATCTTGTTGTATATTGTAAAAGTAGTGTCCCCGCGTGTGCGCGCAACAAAATGTTCAGTAATTTTCAAGAGTTTCAATAATGTACGATACGATGCAATAATAAAACTAATGCGATACGATATAATATGAACTAAAACTACCGATATGTAGTGATATCGACATATAATGCATGATTCACTTTTATAAAAAAATTCTTCTAATCTAGTCAAATTGTGGTGAAAAGTATTTGTGTATTAATGACTACAGAATTATTTTAACTAAAATACACACATCAATGTATTAATTAAATAGAATAGACAACGAGTTTATATCATGGGAAATCTGTAAATAAAGCTGTCAAATGTAGCGTACTGGATCTCGTAGAAAAGTATTTAGAACATAGGATTTACAATAAGTTGTGTATAGAAACAAAAAGGACCATCTCCTTTTAAAAAGATAATATAGATTCAACGCACGTTTAATATAAAAAGAAGTTAATTTTAGGTGTATATATAAAAGATATAT